AAAAAATATACAATTAGAAAAAAAAAATAAAGAAAATAAAAACAAATTTGATTTTCTGTTCGTTATTGGATGATTCTTGCTATAATTGCACTGTAATAAAACGTGTGTGACAAAATGTTTGAAGAAAATACAAAGTTAAGGATCACTGTGGTTGCAAGATATATATGATATATCTAAGTATAATAAGATATAATGTATCGATTTTCACCGATATTATCTTACCTTGCTATATCTTGCACCTCTCCTTCATAAATTTGGAAGGCCATGAAGACCCATGACAGATGTTTACTATCTTTCTGTCTTCCTCTCTTTCTTTTTCTGATCTTTCTCCGTAATTTAAGTAAGCATTTGGAATAGACTTTTTATACATAGGTACAAGTCATGAGTGGTAGTAAATCACAGAATAAACTGTGTGAAGAATTTCGTATATAGCCACATTTAAGCGAGCAATAATGTTCAGTGCTCAGTCAGATAGAACAACACAAGGCGCCCTCAATTATTACAATTGTTCGACAACGCATTCAAGTACGGTAACAAGGAAGGAGCACTAGGAGTTGGCATTTGGTGGAGGAGGTCTTCTATCATAGTCCCGTCTATAATCTTTGTTTGATCGCCAGTCGCTAGGATACCCGTCTCCGGGATAACCTCGCCCTCTAAAGTGGCTTGGGGGAATATCTGAAGGAGGGTAGCCACCACCACCACCACCGCCATATCCTCCTGGGCCATATCCATAACTTGGCGGTCCTGACGGATATCTGTAATAATCACTGAAACCACTTTTATGAAATTTATATTCTTTAAAAATTTCTTTGTATGTAACTTACCTTCTTTTATCATTCATGTGCATGTTTCGATCACGATCTCTGTCTCTGTCACGGTGATATCCACTGGACATTCGTCCGTAAGAATCGAAGCGATCACGTTTGTGATCTCCAAATCTAGAAATTAATCGACAATTAAAGTTAAACTGTAAAACGATTACATGATATTTATGTACAGGATGTTCCAATTACCGAATATTATTAAAGTATTAATTATGTTACAATAGTATAGCATTAAAAAATGTTGACTGCTTTGAACATGAAATTAAGTGAAGTGAAAAAAAATAATTTTTATCTTTCTTTTTGTAAATGTTCTTTATAACATTTTTTAAATTCTAAATTTATTTTCCCAAATAACGCTTTTTTTATATACTATAAGTATTTTACATGAATACCTTCCATCTCTCATATCTCTTCCATCACGCGACAGCCAATGATCATCTTCTCTGCTACCACTATAGTGACCACTTATGCTATAACCACCGCTATCTCGTCTGATCCTCTCGTCTTTTCCTCCACTCATTCTATCCATACTCCTATCACCATGTGCTCTGTCTCTATCTCTGTCGCGATCCCTATCTCTTTTTACATCCTTGTTGTGTTTCGACTCTTTTTCTTTATGTCGCGGCGTGTCCGTACTATTAGTGGTACTTGATGTAGAATTTGGAGTCGATGTAATAGGAGTAATAGTGATAGCACCAATAGTAACCGTAGACGTATTGCTGATACTGCTTACAGCAGAAATGGCTGAGAAGTGTTTCTTACTTGGCGTGCTACTATTAGATGTTTCCTCCATATCTTCGACTCTACGTTTTTGTGATCTTTCTTTATTAGTATCTACTTGCGGTTTATCGATATGTTTGTCATATGTTTTGTCAGTATGCTTCTGGAAAATATAAGGTTTTCAACTGTTCTATTTATATAATGTTCGACTTATACAATACATATTAATCTATAATACCTTAGGGTTACTAGATTCTTCCTTTTTTTCTGGACTGGATGTAGCACTCATACTACCGTCACCACCCTTCTTAGTCGCATGTTTATATAACTTATAAAGTTTTTTTGCATCAAATTCTGTGAACTTTGACACAAAGTACCATAAATTACTTCTCCACTCTTTAATTTGTTCTGGGTCCCTGTATTCTTCTAGGCAGGTATTAATTTGATTTCCAATTTGTACAAGGCACTGCCTTGTATGAGCAACTTGCTCTGCTTCACTTAAAGACTGATCAGGCCTGTCTAAAGCTTTAAGTGCTTTCTTTACGGGTCTCATTTTTTCTTTGCACTGCATGAAAGATCAGTAAAATGTCCACGATTATTCTTCATATTTAAATTACATAAAATACGTGATAATAAAACCAATAATGACCTCGTTAAATATAGAAGGATCTAGGTCTCCAAGAACGTCAAGAGCTCTTGGTTCGTTATTAGCAGTAAAATGCATTGGCCCAGCAGCTTGTTTAGTCTTTTTAGTCCTTTTATTTTCTTTCTTCTCCTTTTTAGTTTTTTTGTCCTTCTTCTTCTCTTCTGGGACATCTTCAACTTCTTCTTTAGTTTCTTTTTTGACAACCACCTCTTCCTCTTTCTTCACGGGTGGCTTAAGTTGCATAAACGTTTAAAATTTCAAGTACTATTCATGAATTAGATAACAGAGAAAGAAATAATAAAGATACCTTTTCCACTTTTGATTTAGCTTTACTACTTTCATCACCTGAACTGTCATTTTCTTCTATAATTTCTTTCGTAATTGCAGATTTCACTTCTTTTGCCTTTCTTGGTTTCCTTGCTTTAGTCTAAAATAATTTGTATAAAAATATATAACAAAAATATCTAAAATTTATATTAATTTTTGTTTAAAGTAAAGTGAGTTTAAGGGGTAGGAGCATGCGAAATAGGAAAAGTAAGGATTAAGCATTTACCTTATATTGGTATTCTAACTGTGATGCAAGGATATAACCCTATAGGATAATATAAAGGTATAAGGGACCTTTTTGCAAGTTATTATAGATATAATACAATATTTCCTTACCACTCCTAATTTGGTATCAATTTGTTTCTTTAGTACTTTTAACAGGTATTCAGCTCGTGCATTAATTTTTTTTAATTGGAGCTTACTATTGGGAAGAATTTTGTCACCAAGTTTTAAACTACTGTCCATTTTTATTGCTTCCCATGAACCCATGCCATGTTGGTATATGCCTCTCAGAAGTCTAGAATCATCTTCAGAACTCCAATCACCATCAAAGTTGGCAGGTTTTAATCTAAAATAATAAGATAGTTATAAATTATATTTACTCAAATGAAATCTAAAAAAAAGGAAAAAAAAAATACACGTACTTGGCATCTATATGCCAATTCGATCGCTGTTCAGAATCTGATGGCAAAGCTTGTTCCAAAGGTTCAAGTTCCTTTACTGCTGCCGAGAAAGATTTTGCATTAACCATAACACCACCAATCTTAAATGTCGGACCTCGACCTCTTTTACGGCCTGGACCTTTACCCTCTTCTTCCCCTTTATTTTCTTTGGCCGTACTTTCAAATTCAGTTATACAAGCATCACATCTACTTCTCAGTTGGTCTCCCAAGAAACGCAATTCTGACATTGGTTTTTCTTGCAATTCCGCGTCTGCTGCTATATCATCTAGACGTTTTAATGGTGCAGGGAATTTCTTGTAACTTTTCACAAATCTTCGTATCTGCATATAATAATAATTGTTATTTAAATATGCATAGACGAATGTCTATAATAGAACCAGAAATTTACATACTTCTGCATCAGTGAAGCTTTTTATATTTTCCCGAGGAGTAACCCTCGGTCTACCTCTTTTCTTAGGACGTTCATCATCACTACCTTCAGCTTCACTTCCAGAGTCTTCTCCATCATCACTATCATCAGCCTTCTTTCGTTTTCTACCTCTTCCTGAATAGTAAACCACGCATTAATTACACCTTATTTAAAAATAAAATATAGAAATTATACCTTCACTTTGATTAATTTGTTGTAGAGTTTTTCGACTTCTTGGTGGTAAATATAGATCTTCCATTTCTTTCGACTTTTCTTCTTCTTCAACTTTTTTCCTGTAATTTTCTGGAATAATTTCCGCCTGGAGGAATGTCAAGCAATTCAACAACCACGTATATGATTTCATAGTATTAGTAGTAGTAATAGTAGCAAAAGTATTTCATAATAAAACATAAATTAGTCTCACCCAGTCTTTACTTTCATCATCATTGTCATTTGGTTGACTAACAGGTTCAGACTCTTCTTCAAATGCAGCGAAACTAGCTACTTTGAATGCAGACAGCAATTCATCTCCTACCGTTGAAGGCCCTTCGTCTCTTGTTTCCGCTCTTCTTAGGATTTCGTCGATATCGCACTAATTACATAAAAATAAGAATTTTATACAGTCTTGTATACACATTATCCTTAGTTGCTCGAATCATTAAAAAAATATTACAGTCGGCTCTTCGTCTCCATCTTCTTCATCCTTGAACAAATCTTCAGCGCCAAATTTCAAAATAGCATTTAGATCTTCTTTGTTAAATGGATTGTTATTGGTCCCTGCGTTTTTTTTATCTAATACTGTACGACCAGTCGTATCCATCCGTTGAATCACAAGATGATCGAGGACCATCTTTTGCTTCGCTCTTTCTACTATTTCTTCTTCTACAGAATTCTTTGTTACTAATCGATAAATGTTTACCTGGATAATTTAGTAATGATTTAATAATACTATGACTAAAGTAAGTTTACTTAGTATAATAAATCAGTATACGTAATTTAAATACCTGATTCTTTTGACCAATACGATGTGCTCTGGCTTGTGCTTGCAAATCGTTTTGTGGATTCCAGTCAGAATCAAATATAATAACCGTATCAGCGGTAGCCAGATTAATACCTAGACCACCTGCTCTAGTTGATAATAAAAAACAAAAATCTTGCGATCCTTCCGCATTAAAATGATCTAACGCCTGTTTCCGTAATTCCCCTTTTATACTTCCATCTAACCTTTGGAATGGAAAATGCCGCTTTTGCAAATATTCGCCAAGAATATCTAACATCCGAACCATTTGACTGAATATTAATACTCGGTGACCTGTCTCCCGCAGTCTCACCAACAATTTATCAAGAAGAACTAACTTCCCAGAACCACGAATTATTTGTTGCAGATAGTCCTCATTATTATCTTTTCTCTCATTCTCCGTAGGTTTTGTAAGAAACGCGTGATTACAGCACTTCTTTAATTCAATAACAATATTTAGGAAAGTCATAGTAGAGCCTTTAACACCTTTTCGTAATGCGTTATAATTTTTTGTCAATATCCATTTGTAGTACTGTTTTTGTAAAGATGTCATTTCCACGCGTAGAATCTGTTCAACCTTAGCAGGTAATGACTTTTCTACATCTTTTTTGACGCGTCGCAAGATAAATGGTTCCAATTGTTTATGCAATTTCGAATACCCCTTTTGTGCCGCGTTATCATGTTCTTTCTCGAACTCTTCCCAGGAATTAAATCTACAAAAGAGAAATTATTGTATAGTTTATAATATTTGTAGAGTTTACAAACTATACAAAGTTTGTATATTGTATGGTTTATAATTATTGTATAGAATATTGGTTAAGAGAGATTACTAACTGTAAAGAATCATAGGTGAAAAATAATATATAAAAAAAAGAATAAAATTCTATGAATGTATAAAAATGTACTAACTTAGCAGGCATTATGAAGTGTAGTAAAGCCCATAATTCTTTCAAGCTGTTTTGCAACGGTGTACCAGTTATTAAAAGCCGATGATTTGTATGAAAGTCGGCTAGTGCTTTATATAAAAGGGAATCGTCATTTTTTAATCGGTGCGCCTCGTCAACTAATAACACTGCCCAATTTAAGGCACCCAAAAATGCTTTGTCCTTAAGTACTATTTCGTACGTGGTAAGTATGGCATTGAATTTTAATCTCTTTGAACTGTAACACCACTCGTATTCTCTAATCTAAAATTATATTCATACAAGTATAAATACCCAAGTAACCATTATTATAAAATTGAAGATTAAACTCGATGAAAAATAACACTCACGACATTACGAGAAGTAACATCACCCAAATATGTTACGAAATTCATGTCTGGAGCCCACTGTGACATTTCTCTTTGCCAGGAAGTCATTGTAGATAGAGGAACTACTAATAAAAATGGCCCGTGAAGCTGTTGTGTATGGAACAAGTAATAAAGGAAGCATATAGTTTGTATTGTTTTACCAAGACCCATTTCATCTGCTAAAATAACACTGTAAATAAACAAAATTTATTATATTATTTATATTTTATAATATAGAATATATTTAGATTTTAATTGGGATTGAATGTTTTAAAAATAACAACTTGCCTATTTTCTTTACACCAAGAATGTATCATCCAATTCAATCCATCCATTTGATAATCTCTAAGTGTTAATTCTCGCCCTTTACCCATATAATCTGGTTGCCCTTTTAACTGGTGAAATTTGGGTCTCGATTTCAGAACTTTGCAGTGTTTGCTTGGCGTTCTCTTTGATTCTTCTCTATCACGAAACTCCTTAATTTTTTCTGGCCACTTCTTAACAATCAAAGCTCCATCTTCCCATGTAGCCTCGGCATATGGTAAGCTCTCCCATTTACAATAATAATCTGGGTGTTCAGAGTCTGGCTTATTATATTCAGCAATAATCCTTTCAACATTATTATAACTTTTCAGGAGATCTTGCTGAAGTTCTAATTGACATTCAAAATAATCTATATCTTCAGGTCCTGCATAATCCCTCCATTGCTGAATTTCTCGTTCTCGTTTAATAAAGTTATCTAATTTTTTTAGTCCTTTAACTTTTTGTGCTTTTAAAGATTCCTCTGACTCCCATGTATTATGAATGTGAGACCACCCTTTCCATTTTATTAGATATTGCATTTCTGTTTCTTCATTAGATAAGTCTTCCGGATTGGGATCTCCATTTTCTTCGATAGCGTAAATTGTTGTAACATTTCCTGTGACTAAAGACAAATATGTTGTAACATAATATGTTCGAAAATATATATTTATCAATTTTATTGGCAATTCTGTAAACGAACCTCCTTTCTTGCCAATTCTCTGTCCCAAAATTCGTTCGATTGTTTCCGCATTATCAGGTTCTACGGTTGCAGTGCTACCTTCTTCAACTTCTACCAAGTCTTCACTGTCAGTTCTTTCTTCACTTTCCTCTTTATAACTCACTGCAGTGCCAGTTCTTCTTGTAACTTGTCTACAATATATTAATTCACATTTTATTAATATCATTATTATATTTTAACGAAAAATATATTATTTACATACAATGTGTTTTCGATACGTAAAAACGGAGAATTATATACCTTCTGTTATCATCACTATCAAAGGATGAATTTTCAGACGACTCTGAAATTCTTTTCTTCCGTGCTCTGGCTTTTTCTTTTGCCTTTTGAGCCGCTCGTCTGTTTAGCGATTTACTAGGCGGAGGTCTCCTACTTTCAATATCATCAGACTCAGAATCTGAAGAATCTGAATTCCAGGAATTGTGCGAACTGTAAAAAAAATGACGAAAAACTGAAATACTTTATATATTCCCAATGCCTATAATACTAATTAAACGGAGTATCAGTTTTATCTTAATTAATCTCATTTAAAACCATATATATGTAGTATACTAAAACAATTTTTTACTTTATTTCATACCGAATATAAAGAAAGTTGTTTTCCAATTCATAAAAGTCACATGCATTACACCAAAGAACACTTATATGAAATATTAGTAATTAGCAAGAAAAGTAACAGGAATAACTTACAGAAATTTTAATAAAATAACAGGAAATACTGAACTCTATTTTATAATCAGTATCATTGCTCGCCATTTATTAATGCTAAGGTAAAATTTGTATAATGTAACTATATTTTTTACATGCTCATTCTTGGATATAATAAACACATTTTTCAATGTAATATATAATATAAATCAAAGGATATAGTAAAAACAATTCAGTGTTGTTTAAAGCTTTCTAAGTTCTAAGCTACCATAATGTGAAATAAAAAATAGAAATAGTGCATACTGTATGTAAACTAAGATGAGGTATGAAGACACACTAATATACATTAAACAGATCATATGCAACATAGAGAGCTACACACATACACGCGCGCGCACGCACGCATGCATCCACCCACATACACATACAAATATTCAAAGAAGAACATTGAAAAGCATAGGGAAATTATTATTGCCACTGAAGGTATAAAATACAAACCTACCAAATAAATATTAGAAATTATGTATAATCTAAAATGCAGAAATTGAGCATCAATAATGAATGTACATGATTTTATTTTTGTATCGCCTAAGAAAATCACAGTTTATAAAAAAAAAATCTACATTGTTGTAAATTTAAATGTAATTCTTTTGTACATTATATCATATTTAAAACTATACTTTGTAAATGAAGAGAAATGCTTTTTCTTTAAGTACGTATCATTTAAATTTTTAATTTGTTTAATACATAGACTAATTAATTCCATGTAAAATTTATTATTGAAAAAATAAATAAAAGACTCAATGTCTGTTTTTACAAAACGTCTACTTGAACTACAAAAAATACTTTATAGAATTATGAAGTCTATAACTTTTTATAATTATTTGATTGAGTTTCTGGTAGTTACTTACCTTTTTTTCTTAAATTTCTTGCGACTATCGCTATCGCTTTCACGCTGTGTTGCAAGCCTTTCAGGCTCTTTTCTAGATCGCCCGGATCTCCTGATGCCATATATATCAGGATTCTCATCCCACTCACGACTAGACTCATTTTTAAGCCTAACTTTTGTTTCTGTGCTGTGATTTGAACTTTTGCTCTGGAAGCTATCGCTTTGTGCAGGTGCATCCGACTTCTCTGATTTCTCAGAATCAGAGCCTGATCCAGAACCGGAACCACTCGAGGAGCTAGAGTCACTGCGTTAGCAGCCAGGTAATAGTTTACTTCACTAATCTTTTTAATACAGTATAAATTTTCAAATTATTTTGAATAATGAGATACATTTAGAAGTACTAAATGTTTTTCAAGCATATGATCGATGACAAATCGAGAATTTATTATCGCGAATATAAGTTACACGAATCCTCATAATCCTGTATTCCCTTTTCAATTTCAATAATTTATCGTCGAAAGCATCAAAATGAATAAAACAATAAAAATATTAAACATTTTTAATTTAATGCTACATTTACTGGCATAATGAATAATAAATACATTTAAATATTATGTAATATATCCTACAAAAATATTAACTTCGTTACTTTTACTCTGTGAAAAATATCTTTCATATGTTATATGAGAATACTATTGTATTGTGTTTCTGTATGACCTAAGTAAACATACACTATCCATGATTTATTAGCATAACTTCGTTATCAGTAAAATGAGTAGAAGCAGTATATACTAGCTTACCTAGTGCTTAAATTGTTTTACAATACAAGAAAACAGGTACTATTGCATGAATAACAGAAATCTTAAGATTATGCTTACAAAGATTTCAAGGGATACATTAAATTAGCATGATTATCAAAGCCATGTTAATGCTATATAAAGCTATAGCAATACACAAAGTCAAGTGATACCAATCTTTAAAAAAGAACCCTTATACATCAGAAAGTCAAATACATTACATCAGACAATGATGTTGTACATGTTACAAATGATGATTGAACGTTGATTGCTATTATTAGCTTCGCTATACCAATAGGAATTATATAACACCCTACATAAAAAAGGGGTATAACATCAAAATAGTGAATACAATTATACTTTCATATTAAACTTAATGAGAATATATAATTAAAAACTGATCCATGTATTAGACTTTCTGAAATTGACGGGCCATACCAAAATAGTTTCAATACCCACCTTTCTGATCCTGAACCAGATCCTGTATTGCTCCCCGAAGAAGAGCTATCACTCTTGCTTTCATTTTCAGAATCAGATCCAGATTCCTTACCAGACTCAGATTCTAATGTTTTCTGTAATTTAATCAGACCCTTCCAATATTGCTTAAATTTCAGGAGCAATTACGTCGCCGTGTTGTTTGGAATAGTTTTTTTCTCATTAAACTTTGTATACTAATTTTTTTGAGTTGTATTACTCATAGCACTTGTAACAAAAATACTCTGCTACGTTTCAATATTTAATTACCTTATTCACAATTTAGTAATAAATTTTATTTATATTGTAAACATACTACATAACTTTTAAATATACTTCTGATGTTAAAAGATTAACTTATGCATAAAGTAGCAGTGCCATCTACTAATACAAGAATCTTTCCACCATTTTGTGATTCTTATCCACCATTTTGTGATCCTTAAATACATAATTGCAAAGCTTTTCAATGCACCTCATAGATACATCTTACTGAAAGTGTGAAATTCTGTAAGACATTCCTATGTAATCTACATCTTAGTAGTAACATAAATCAAAGATTTGAATATAAATCATATAAAAATATGATCATGAACACCAAAAAATCATGATGAGGATATGTATACCATTGAAGAAACTTCGAAAGTACCATTTCAATGCTATCAAAACGTTTAATATATTTCATGTGATTTCTATGGACCATAAAGCACTAAAAACTCTGCAAAAGTTCTTATGATCAAGTGGATTAACATACGCAGAGCTATTCCCTGTAAATAACTAATGTCAGGTGTAATGGGTATCTTAAAAGAAGAGTATAATTCAATATTTAAATAATTTATAGCTTTATTGAACAATTCAGCAAGTACATCTTAAACAACACTTGGCTGAACTTACGTTACATTAATTTTTTAATAATGTATAATGCTATTAGGCATAGATTCATGGTAAAATCTTACATTTAATTTAATGCTGAATATTGTGAAAATATATGTTTGATATCAAAATGATGCTTTATGTATATTTAAACATAAACGTTCATTATCAATAGATTCTGAAAAATAAATAAGTGTACTTTACACTGTAGAAAATACAATGCGATTTTGTTTTATGAAGTACAGTACTGTCTGAAAACATAAGATATGTAACACATGATAAATATAGTTAATACGAAGCAAAAGTGATGTTACATGAGCTTCATATAGTAGAAGATTCTTAATATACAAGGAATTAATACCTTTTCAGTATATATTCTAGAATCATGACTTTTACTTATCAAAAACTCCATGACTATTTTAACTGTTTTGAATTTGAATATAGAAGAAATACGCTTAAGGCATAATTACTTCTGATATTTATAAAATACATATATGCGATACATACTGCGTTAATGATATTCATACTAATAAATAATAACTCCTTTTTAGCTAGGATGATATATCTCCATGTACACTATGCTCGCAGTAATTAAAACTTCTATAATTTAAGAATATAAATAGTTAAAAAAAAGTAGTCTGCCACATATTATGATTTAATAATTCAAATTTTCATGTGTGTTATGGTTATAATATTTTCTGAGAATGTGATAATGGAAATAATCAGACTTAATTTGTGGTTCCTAAAGTTCTTCCATTTACAATTGTTCCCAACAGAGACAAAATATATTGTTTGTTACAAAAGACTAAACATTCCGTAACTTTTAAGATACTTTTTAGAGAATCATAAATGAATTTTTCGCATTATTTTATTGTCAAAGTATTTATTACAATAGAATTCTCATTATAAATGTTCTTGTTCTTCAGTACAAATCACTCGCTGCTTTAATTTTATAATCAGCATTCATAGGTTCTGATAAAAATTTATTGTGGGAGTCATAAATATTCCATCTTTTTGTTAATCATAAGCACAAAAATGTGTGCACAATGTATCGAATTGCATAGAAATCCAACTCTCATGAATTCTATAGAGAAGAAATGTAGAATCAAACCTTATCTACAAGAGAAAAATGATTCAAATAGTACAGAAATTTCTACATTCTTTAAAGAGAAAAAAATGTTTGAACATATCTAATAATTTCCAAGTGAAGAATATTCAATTCCTCTAACTTTCACAGAAGATTCTGCTACACAATCTCAATCATAGTGGAGAGACTGTGCATCACAATCTTTGAGCTTAATTTGCAAAAATGGGTCCCTTTCAAATTTTTTATTAACCATGGATCTAAGGTGAAGGAGAATGCAAGGAATAATTTTTAACGAAAATTAGGGTGGAACAACGATATTTTCTGTGATAAATGTCAGATTGAATGAATGTAAACAAACATATAGGTTATTAAGAGGCTGAGAACTATGTAATGTTGTGAAAAATCGTGATTTAGTAGAGGCAAGTCCCTGAGCTCATAAGGTCGATAGGGCTCCGCCCTACGCGCAGATATCGTTTAAAACAAATTACAATGATTTTTTACATTTTTACAAGGATTTTCGTAGTCGTACTACACTGAAACGTATGTGACAACGTGATTTTTCCCTACTCCAAACAACACCACGGCCATATCGCGTAAATTGTTTAATAAAAGTAACATTTACGCTCGCGTTCATAACAAAAACAAACAATTATTAGAAAAAATCCCGGTAGAAGCTGTGAATTAAACAAATTTCGAACCCGACCACTCACCTGCATCGTCCCGTCTGCGCGTCGCACCGATATCTCGATATTACACGCACCACGCACAAGATCACGTTAATTTAACAATTAAACTGCCCCGTAAACACGTATTCGTAATGTTAAACGACTATTGGTATATAGAGTCGCGACATCATGCAAAATTATCGAATTTTCACGTACTATATGGTCACGGGCCTGAGCTTGGCCGCCATTTTGTGAACTCGACTCGTTCTTTCGCCCTCCCCGACCGTCTTCCCAACCGTTGTCCCATCATGCAACGCGCGCGCGCGCGCACACTTCTCTCCCCTCCAACAACCCAAACCCTCTTTATTACGAACGTCTTGTAAAATGCAATCAAAACTAAAATTTTTGGTACACTATTATATGAAATATTCAAAAAGCACATTTCACTAGATTTTACATAATTATTATTTACGATTCTATGAACAATAGATTTTAGAAATATCTGTTTGGGCGAATTATATTTAAACGTAGACGCAAAACGGAAATCGTTGTAAGACAGCCATTTTGATTACTCATGGATATTTTACCCACAATGCCTGGCGACAGTTTTTCGATTGTTCTGTATATGCGCAATTACAGTGATCGGGCAGATCATATGACCATGTTTAAGAAAAACATTTTTCGATATTAATAAATTTAATTTGTATCGATTAAAATATATATTTATATATACAAATTTAATTAGTAAACGTAATTTATTTGTAATTTAATTTCAAGTTCATAAAATTCATATTATTTAATTGCAAAAGCGAAATTAATGTGACCACTCAGTTCATCAAGAAATATTCGTAAAAACCGTAAATGCGCACGCAGTATATTTGAGCTCAGGGATTTTCCTTACTGCTATTCAGTAATTTGTACAAGATAGACCGAAAATGTAGTGTCTGAATGTATAAACGTTAATCATGTTGTCATGCAGAGTATGGAAGCATTTTTATGAAGCAATGTATATGTCTAGAAGCTGACATTTCCATCAGATTGGGTACGGATAAAAGATAAATCAATCGCAAAGAATGATTGGAGTAGTGAATGTGTTAAATGCAAAAAATATGATTTCTAATTAAACAGATTATTTTACCCTGTCCAATGAAAGCCAGCTTGTGTATTCGCAGGCGATGTAACTAACGTATAATGACGAGAATGAAAGACGAAAAATATTACCCAAACTCCCGTGGCACGTCGTACCGGAAAAGGAAGAAAGGGTCGCGAATTCGATATATGATTACTTACAACTTCCGGTCGAAGATCGATATGATGCGATGTTGAGTTTCGATATCTCGTTCGATAAGAGGCGGGTTAAATGATTCAGAAATATTCTGATACTTTTATAATTGTTTAATATAAAATAATATATTAAGAAGATATTAATTACACACATATACAATTACTTTTCGGTGAACTAAACTTAAAGTATGTTTTCCTTTTTATCATATTCCAACAATAATGCACGTTGTTAAGGGAAAAATAAAATTTTGAATATTCCGGAAGTTTACCACCTGTTTAATTTTACTTAAAATAATTCTAAAAATGAAAATCTTCGAAATAGATAAATTATTTAAAAAATGAGACTCTTACTATTAACGATAAGGCTTTGAAATAAGTATTTAATTTTATTTTTAAGAAGTACGTGAATTGTGTCAAGAACTAAAGAAAAATTAAATATACTTTATTTATTTACATGAATTTTAATCTGTGTACACTTTTCAATATACATATGAAGTAACAGCAAAGAAATTTAAGTGATCACTTAATGGATACATAGTAGAATTTATATACACGGTACATGTGTTCTACATGTGTTATTTATTACGTATACCAGTAAACAAAATAATTGTTTGTCCGAGTTCTATATCGTGAAAAATGCTACAAAAAACAGCGGTTTCATCTGCATCAAGTATAAGCTTGAAACTATCACTAACTAATTAAAATTCTGTTTAAGAAATATTTGTGGATATAAAATTATACAAAATCAATGAATGTTTGTAAAAAGTTTAAAAAATAAAATTTAAAATGAATTTCTTGTATATTACGTTTTCGTTGTTTTATTTTACAAAACTACGGTTTCGAATATATTTCCAATCTGACATATTACATAACAAATTTATAAGAAATAAACATTTTCAATAAAAATAAATAATTACCATAAGAATTTTAATGGCAGCGGAAACTAAAAAAGCATATATTGAGAACCCTTTGGAACATAGTACATTTTATGAAGATTTTTTTCATTGAAAAAATTAATATAGAGTAAAAATTCAAAATTCAAAGGAATTTGTTATTGACTGGAAGTTTTATATATTTAACGCTGCCATTTTTATTAACAAACATCATATTGTAAATGAGAATACCGTTTTTTCGCAACGCCTATCAAGTGGCACGAACAAAATATGCAATTGTGCTGAATGGTGTATATACAAATATTAATATACCTATATAAATTTTATATCATACGGAAATATGAAATGATTAACGTAATAATAGGGTAAAGTATATCACATATCTTTAGATAATAATTCTGTATAATCAACGATATCTTATACCCACACATTCTATTATAAATCGGAATTATGCAGTAATTCAGTCTTAAAGTAATTTAAAACGTAACACGATAATACAAAGTTCTTACAATAAGAAGCCAACAGTGGTAAGAATTTCACATTTCATTGTCCAATGACAATATTTTATTTTAACATATTCATGAATCTAAAGGATACTTGCATAAATGAGTTAAGAATTTCAACACATATATTTTACAGATTCACGTTATTCGGGATCAGGTGTTTCTTGTGTATCATCTAATGACTCTTCTTCATCCTTTTTCTCTTTAGTTTTTGCATCAGGTACCCAAAGGCCACTTTGAACACACCGTTTCATATGGTAGCACGCAAGTTCCTGTGGCATTGCTGCTAATGTTTCATGTAGCAAAGCAATATTTTGTGTCTCAAAACATTTTTGTAGAGGCTAAAAAGATATATCACTATCACAACAATGCTGTTCTAAATTAAGAGAGTATTTTTTTTTTATTATAATATATCTATGTTTACCTCTGGAAGGCTCTCAAATACTTCGACTGGATCTAAACCACCAGGACCAAGACGTGCTTGCCTCTCCTCTTCTTCAGCTTCTTTAAGAGCATCTGCTACTTTTTCAGCAGCTCTCTTGCGTATTCTATCTTTAAATGCCCGAAGTTCATCATCAAAAGAATTTTTATATTCAACTTCAGCAATCTGAATTCGACTGAAGAAGGAACCCACACATGCTCTTGGATCAACATCCAATTGTTTTGATAATTCCAAAATGTATTGTACGCATATGCACTGATGGGCAACATGTTCCATCAAGTCATGTTTCTAAAATAAAGAATATTCTTGTTAGTAATATATACATTAATAATGATTAAATACATTTAATATGAATATTAAATGTGTTCTTACTTCTTCCATTTCCAAATTAATACACCAAATCACTAAATAGTTTGCAGTATTTTCACATACCAACTGAGGATTTTCAGACAAAAACTTCTTACTGTCATCATATTTTCTTAACATACCAAATGTTTTCAATTTCTTTTCATTATCTTTAACAAACTGCTTCAACCTTTTTTCTTTCTCTTCATCCGACAAGCCTGATTCATCATCTTTAAGAGGTGACCTTGTGTTTATCACAGTCTTCGTGAAACCATCTTGGCTAATAGTATCTACATTCCAAGGTGTTAATTTTTCTTTTTTTGAGATTTCGTCTTCTACTTGTTTAATTTTCTTTTCTTCCTGTTCAAGATCTTGTAATACCTGTTTCAATGCAGTTAAATCGGCAGAATCCTTTTGTTCATTTTCTAGTTTTGCAAGCTTTTCTTTTGTATCTTTCAACTTTTGTAATGTTCTAAAAATAGATACCAATTGTAGAATGACATGTAATTATATTCCATGCAAGATTAATAACCTTTATAAGTAATAAATATATTAAACATACTCTGCTTTCTTTTTTTCATGTTCCATCTGTTCTCGTCTTCGTTCCTCCATTCTTTCAACCCTTGCTTGATGACGCCATCTAAATAATGATGGTGTATCAATATTTGGATGAGTGTCATCTTCATCATCTGAGATCTAATAATAGAAAATTTTATCATTTTATTCATTATTCATACAAAAATATATTGTATTTATATTATAATAAATGCACAGATATATTATTTTTGTCTAATAATACGGTATAAAATAAATAATTTTAAAAATAAAACATCTGTTATAAAAATCAAACATTCATATAAACCTGTTTGTATGATACTAAAAATAATTATATGAATACATACTTCATTATACAATAAATGTGAAAAGAAAGAGTTTAAAATAGAACAAAAATACATAAAATTATTACATTTGATCATATTAAGTTCTTTCACAACGAAAAATTAGCTGCATTCTCGAAATTTCTACCACCACTCTAGAATATTCCATAAGTATACTGGACCAAAATTGAGGTTCTTACCTCAATATCTTTCCACTTGCTGTAATCCACCATTATTTTGCCGGTTGACTATAACTTCTTTCCGATATTACGTTCTTATTAAGCTGGATATTTTTTAAATATACGTATTGTATAAAGTATTTTTTCACTTCTTTTGAAAGTATAAACGCATTACCCCAAGTTGGCAAAGTTTAATTGTCAACTGCACTGACATGAACACAGAACTCTAATACGCACGAGATACCCGTTCGATGCACCAGTGTCTCTCAACTTCCTTGGAGTGAAAATAATTTTAAAAGTATAAAAAATCCAATCAGATAAAACAAAATGAAATAGAAATAATAAAAATATGGAATAAAATAAAAAGAAAACTATAGATGCTTATTAAAAACTATTATGAAAATTTGTATGAAAAATTTTATCCTATTGGAAGGTTATGTTAATGTTTATTAAAAAGTTTATTAAAAATTAACTATATTTTCTAAAACAGTATGTCAATTCTCAAACAAATTATTAAATTAGCTATTCTTTTGTATTTTTGTTGTTTTGGTATACTGTTAAAATAAATATTGCATATTCTATACTGCAAACACACAGTATACACGTATATATAGTATCTACAGTTTAAGGATGCTAAATCGGTGCCCGCGGACAACTCTAGTGACACTCCCCTCACAAGAAGTTACCCTCTCCTTATCTACTTTTACCTGCGGATTAAACACTACAGAGAACTGCTCATATACGTACATACACAGCTCGGGCAGCTCACACTAGAGGTAACGGGGGAACGGTTTTTCGAGTTACTAGCGTGAGGGGATTAAGTTAGACACCACTGGTGTACTCATCCCATACTGTGTTGTAAATACCGCAAAACTAACTACTAGTTATGTGGAACAATTAATGCTATTTTTATTAAAAGTTTTAATATATTGACAGAAATGATTGGAATGCGAATGAACGCGTTCAATGATACAGGACTTGGTGAACCAGAGCAGGATGCAAATACAGCTCTAATAGAATTAGATAAAGGTGTGTTTATATTCTTCAGCTTAACCTGAAATCAAGTTTTACGCAATGTTTATTAAATATTGTAATAATAATTTAGTAAATATGTATATGAAAAATATTAATAAAGAATTTATTAAATGTTCTTTTTTTGTAGAGTTTTCCTTTATTTACATATTTATAAAAAGTATTTTTTCAGGTTTACGTTCCTCAAAAATTGGAGAACAATGTGAAGCAATAGTGCGTTTTCCTCGATTATTCGAGAAATACCCTTTCCCTATATTGATTAATTCTTCCTTGTTAAAGTTAGCTGAGGTTTTTCGCACTGGTAGCAATTTTTTACGTGTCTGGGTACTCAGAGTATGTCAACAAAGTGAAAAACATTTAGATAAGATATTAAATGTTGATGAATTTGTACGTCGTATTTATAGCGTGATACATTCTAATGATCCAGTTGCCAGAGCTTTGACTTTAAGAACATTAGGTAGTGTAGCTGGAATTATTCCAGAAAGGCAGCAGGTAAAACATAAATTAATAATTTCATTTATATCCTACATTTATGCAATTTAAAGTAAAAGATTAATAAATTTTTAAGGTTCATCATAGTATAAGAAGGTCATTAGATTCTCATGATTCTGTTGAAGTTGAAGCAGCAATATATGCTGCACAAATGTTTGCTGCACAATCAAAATTATTTGCTGTTTCTATGTGTAGCAAAATATCTGATATGATTAGAGGTCAAGCAACACCAGCATCTATGAAATTACAGCTTATACCTATTTTGCAATACATGCATCATGATAGTTACACAGCATCAATGGTATATGGATTTTATAAATGTTTATATACTTTAAATACAGATTAAATATATTTTAATTTAAATATACATTTATTATAGGTAAATAAACTATGCATGGAGCTACTTGCTAATTACCCAGCAGTTGAATTTGTCAGAGTAACGTTAAGTGCCTTGAGTACCCTAGCTTTAGCAACATTAATTGATATTCCACAACAAGTTGTACTTTTATTACGGTATCTACAAGATGATCCAAGATTATCTATTAAACGTCATGCTTTACATTTGTTGCATAGTTTAGCAAGAAAAGGAGCACATTTGTGGCCGCAGGGTGCACTTAATAATTTAATAGGTAAATGCATTAATTATATAATTTTGTAATTCGAAAGAAAATATTTAATAGATTTGATATTTTAGAGAGTACCACCACATTATTGCAAGATGGTGCTGGGAATAAAGATCTTCTTATTCGAACATTGGACGTGATCGAGGTTAAAAATCATTTATAAAACTAAATTAAAAAAGCTGTTCCTATAATTGAAAATCAGGAAATAAATTTTGAACATATTCCATCTAGGTGCTTAGTCAGAGTGCAGTAACATGTGATGCGAATAGGGAAGAAGGAAATCCTCTGTTATCTTTATGTGTAAGTGCTTGTTACTCTCCTGATCCTTTTGTGGCAGTAAAAGCAATTACAATATTATCCAGAGTTGCGTGTTATTGGTAAGTATTTAATTGTGTTGTTAAAAAACGTTATTCATTATAGATTAATGTATTAATTTTATATTTACAGCTATGAAGAAGGTTTACCCGCTTATGGAATACAAGATGTTGTATCTTGTCTTGAATCTTTGATTGTATTATTAGCTTTGGATGACAAATATTTACATCAATTGAGAGTTTGTCTACGTTCAACAGTGAAATTGTGTTGGGCACAGCCTAGTCATTGTTCAGTATTTGTTGATGCTATTGGTGGTACACTTTTCAATGCCAATAGCGAAGGTGGTCAAAGTGAAAAACAAGCAGTTGCTTTGTGTGAAGCTTTGGGTGCCATTGGAAGTTTAGGTGAAAATACTTTACTTCCACTTTTACCAGATATATTGACAAAACTTAAACAGACTTTACATGTTCATACTAAGGTAACATTAAAAACTATCCGTAAACTTGTTAGATAGCTAAAAGACATAGTTAAACAAGGAAAATATACCATTTTTGTTAAAGGTCATGTTATCTACATTACTTTTTCAAATGGTAGCTGGTGGTTATGAATGGAATACGGAATGCACAGAAGCTGTGGAGGAAGTTATTAGAAACGTGGATGGGTGGGCTAAGTATCGAATTGCACGTAGTGCTGCTAGATATGGTCATCATACAATAGCAACTCAAATATTTAGAAGTTTAAAAGAAACAGTTGCATCTGAACAACTACACTTCTGGTTATCTGGTTTAGAATTAGTTACAAAAGCTGAAAGCCACCTTATGTTTGTACAATTTATTATAGATTTATTAAAAATGTACAAATGTATCTTTATTCTGTAAATGTTATCATTTTTATAGGGAAAAGACAGAAGAAACGGAAAGTAAAGCGAAAGTACATATAGTAGAGAAGTTGAATGGAGCCATTGCACGTTATGCCAGTGCATGTGCATCATTGAAAGCCGCTAGTACGCCTTTACGAAGTTTACAATTTGCTAGTGAATATTCGAAACTTCGTTGTGAATTCCTTCAAGCTATCGTTCAGCTTTTGCATTCGTGCAGGTATTATATGAAGTGTATTTTCACAAGTATATATAAATATATGTAAAGTACATATTACGAATTAATAAAAATGATTATCTTTTAGATCACTTTGCACAGCTCCACCTCCAGCTATTGCAGTTACAGTAGTGCTTGCAACGAAAGATGATCTTCAGCGTTATGGTCGCGTTACTCATCAGGTACTTTTTTTTATAATTTTTATCATAGTCTACTAAAATGTGTCTGTTAATAATACTATATACTCCTTAGTTGAGAAAATCTGCGCAAGAATTAAAAAATTGTGCTGATAATTATCAGAAACTATATCAATCGGCTTTCGATGCTGATCCTGGTTCACTAGCGAATATAAAAGCGTATCCTTTATCAAAGTATATTTTAGAATCTATTAATGATATTAGGATAATTTTTTTTAGACAAAATCTAATGTTACATTAGGAGTAGAGACTAAAGGGTAACTTCAATATTTTTAATGGAATGTGAGATTAAAATTATAATAGTTTACATCATGTACATTAAGAGTATTTGTATAACAGTAAAATCTGATATAAATTTCAGTTTCTGATTTCAACATATTTTTCCTTCATTTAGTATGTATAGATTGCAAGAAATGTGTCGTTTATTAGCAAATAGCGTTGAACGAGTTTGCGGTGGTTCAGGAATCTGTACATATCATCAAAATGATGTAAACTTTGATTTCGGTGACACTGTTGAGATGCGTCAGTTAGCTCGTTGTTGTACAGAACTACGACGCTTGGCGCCACCCTGGATAAGCGAAGGAAAAAACGCAGCCATTAGCCATTCGCGAGTAAACTGTTTAATATCCCAAGTGATGTTGCTGGCTGGAAAGAAAATGAGATTACCAATACCTCGGTATTACTTCCAATCGTTACAATCAACGAGTGTAAAATTATCTGTCTCCCCGCAACCCCGTGTACTTGGTGAACCGGTATCCGTACCTCAAGGTAGTCAATTGGCGCTCAAAGTTGAAGGAGTACTGCGACACGGTCGTCGCGCTTCCCTTTACCGATCTGTTGCTGCTGTTTGCATTTCTATTTCTACTACACCGCCATCGAAGATCAATTCGGATCAGAAGGTAAGATCAATGAAATCAGCGAGATAGACCTTATTCCATGTAATTATTAAAATTGTTCGCACTAATTTAAAATTTAATGAATACTGAAATTCTAATGCTACTTTTCCATTATCTAAATCTCTGAAAGTTCAAATACACAAACATCTTTTTAACACTTGTTTAAAAGTATCAGAAATTGTTTGAGAAGAATAATACCCTATTTATATCATTATTTTCATAAGATATCTGAATAAATGTTTTTGTTGTTAGGATTCTAACGCGAATGAACTACAACAAACAGTTACTCCGCATCGCGACTTCTTTGCCTGTGAGTTTTTGCTTTCCCTTGGAAGCGCCGGAACGGGAACAACAGCATGCGCAAGCAACACACCTAATGTAAACAACAACGCCAACACAGGGGGCGGGCAGTATCAGGTCACAGCTAGTGCAAGTATACTTGACAAGGACGGCAACGTGTGGAAGTGTGGACCACGTTCCACGCTTCAAGTCAGAGTACACGAAGAACCAACCAAAAGGAAGCTACCATAAATGAATTCATAATTTTTCTTATACATAACTTGTATGTACATGAGATTGAAACAAAGACTATAGAATAAAATCCTCTCTTGTTTCAAACAGGTCGTTGCGCTGAATACTCTTTAAATCTTAATGACTTTTCAAGTTTTATATTTTATAAAGTTTATATCTCTGAAAGACTCGCGCTTCTCAAAACAACGAAAGTATGCGTTGCGAGTTCTACTTGGATCTAAAGAATTCATGCTACAATATGATCTGTTCCTTACAGCTATTGTATAACAATTATGTATCATGGTACAGATACTGTTAAATAAATATTTTTATTATTATCAAGGGTTGCACTAAATAAAAGTGTTTATTTTCAAAGAATGTTCCCCCAGCCTTACAATGTTCGGCCGGGGGTAGTTACAGCGTTACGCCTTTGAGGCGAGGGTGACTAATTATAAAATTATAGTGTTCATTCGCTATTCAGCTACGACTAATATATAATATAATTAAATATAATTTTGGCTAACAGATAACTCATAAATAAGCAACAACATAATAGGAAAGAAAAATAAATAAAGAAAGGAACAAAACAAAATAAAAATAGATCAACAAATAAAGTATGTACAATAGTGTGAAGATAAAATAAATAAATAAAATCCGAGTAGGCAGGTACATTACGCGTTGCTTGCAACAGTCGTCGTATGACTAGATTGTGAAGTGTATAAAATTCTTGTCGCACTATTCCGGAGTGCAGATACCATCTCGCAACTCCGGTCCCCGCCGATTAGAATATAAATAAATGTAAAGAAATAATCAATATAAATAAAAGTAGGAAAATAAACAAACGTAGAATAGAATAAAATAAAAATAGAATAGAATAAATAAATATAAATAGGCAATAGCGTAAGTAATGTACAATAAACTTATGAGTAGCTAAATACATAGTAATGCATGTGTAGGGCGCGAGTGCATGTGCAATCGAGGAAGCAGCGAGAGTATAGTAGAAAAATAAGTGTAGAAATAACAAGAGGATGGCAGATAGATATGAAAAGAAAGATAAAGATAGAAGCAAGAAAAAAAATAGATGAAGCAGCTAAAGGAATAAATATATAGCAGTTAGTCCCATGTCAGTAAATAAAGCATAGCGAGTGACTAGATAAGTAAAATAAATATATAAATAAATAAATAGATGAATAAATAAATAAATGGATGAATAAAAACATAAATAAATAAATAGATATGGAGATAAATAAATAGATGTACAGATAAGTAAATAAATAGAACAGAGTTAATAGTTAAAATGGATACGTTGATAGATAAAACGGGAGAGAGTGAATGGTTCAGAAAATAAAAAAAATAGAGATAAAAATGAGAATTGCACTAAATACTACACGATTTTCCTAAATCATTACAATAAATAATTAACCGTGCCTCCATCTCTTGCCTTACTTTTAAATGATTACAGATCATTCAATAAAATACGATTAATATAACGTAACTATACGTAACTATACAAAAATATGATCAATCCTTCATATTGTACAAGTGCTTCGTACTAGTCCTTTTTTTGACATTTAATTCATTTTAATTTAGATTACCATCCTAAAAACGCATGCTTCAACGATTGTGAAAAATATTTGTATTTAACGTAAAGGTTTATTTCATCAATCACGGGTAGTAGCAAACAATAGCGTGCCGTGTGTTAATGAAGAAAGGATTGCTGTAATCGCGTGCTCGACTGTCTCATATGAAATGGGATTTTACGTGGGATGAGTGGCTGCGTTTTCGCAAAATCCGCCGGTTCGACGAGGGGGTATCAAGGGGTATCAAGGGGTATCAAGGGGCATCAAGGGGTAAAGGGGGGCAGACCAGCAGCGTGAGTCACGGGCAGACGCGCCGTGAGAAGCCCATAAAAGGGCGATCGCGAGGGTGTTCGGCGCACAGTCGCGCACCGTCTGCCCGCTTGTACGGCACGCGGTATCCCTCGGCGTCGCGGTGCGCTCCGTACAATCGTCATCCCCCGCAGGAGCAACAGTTATGCCCTCAGATCATCGCGTCATTGGCTGACACGGTCAACTATCAAAACTTCGGTCACGCGTGTTCGCGCGGTAAGTCTTTTTCATATCATTCCTCAAATTTTACGCGTTCTCCGCCGATTTCAACTGTACCGATCGCCTCGAGCCAGCGTGGTCTCTTAAAAATCGTTTTCTTCAACCATTCCTAGAGCCAGAATCAGTTTCAGTTTCCAAGTAATTCCTTAGGGATCAACATCCTCAATGTATGACAATGAACACGATCCTCGATTTCGAGATTTTAGTAATTCCAAAACGCAACCAGCATGAATTAAAACGTATAAGAAGCTAAGATTTACCAGTACGTGATAATATCGGGGATTGTAGACGACAGAACATTGTTACAAATTTTTTTATTCAAATATATCATACGTTCGTTTCATTCTTCGGAATTGGTACGCGATGGTTGAACGATATCGGAGGAATTTGATTGAATTACTCGTGGTAGTTCGGTTTTCCGATTCTTGCAACTTCGATTTTTGGAAATTAAATTAAGGCTGCGCGCGTACCTTTTTTTTGGTTACGTTTCGATATATTTTGCTGCGACGAAGTGGTTTAATAAAGGTAAATGTATTAGTTTATTTCCGTTTCGATAAAATCTTTCGCAGGAAAGTGAATTCTTACTTGATTCATTCCAATTTAATGTATGAAAGTGAAAAAAGCATTTGAAATGTGAAAGTTGTTATGTGACCGTTATTTGCTCATCCTCGCCTGTTGTTTTAGTATCCTTCTGTAATAAATTTCTCTCAGTTTTCATACAAAAATTGAAATTTTATACGCGACTCGGACAAATAAATGCGACAACTTTTTGTGGATAAATATATCAATCAATGTAACTTTAATTCTGTCGTTTATTAAACTGGTTGTTTTTATCTACCATCTGTCTGTTAATAGTGTTTAATATAAAATTTGCTTAAAAATTCAAGAATTTTTATTATTGAAAGGAATTTAGTAAATGAAAGAAATTTTATATTCTTCGCTTACATTGACCAATTAGTCCCCGAACGTGTGTACTTTTGCTTTCACTATTAATTTTCAATTATTGAACACATTATCACTCGCTATGGAACTAACATTTCGGTTTTTGTTTCCTCGAAAATTAAAACAATTTGATTTGTAATCATTCAAATATTTGGAGGGGAGAGAGAGGGAGAGATACAGAGAAAAACAGGTAGTGATAAAATAGTCGTATTACAAACGATAGGAATAGTGAAAACTTTCCAATTTTTAGTTCACATTTAATTTTGAACACTTGCGAAAAATTCGAGGTTCGACGGTCGACGAAAACTTTCTGTTTCTTGATAGATTCGTCATAGATTCGAAGAATCGTTCACAAAACGGAGCACTCGTAGAGCACACGGCCGCGTTTAATGACACTATTGAGACGAGACAAGTGCAAAGAGTCTCTTCTTCTTACTTTTTTCTTGATCTTGTTCCTTCGAAGACAACTTTCTCCGGTAGCACAGGATGACCGATATTCCTTTAATTTCCCTTATTTCAATTAAGCAACGTAAATATCGTTTTGAAACAATTAAATGCTCGACCTCTCGGAATCGTGATCTTTTATAACGGTGAAAAGAAATGGCGCGCTGGTTAATTGAGGCGTGCAGTGTTCTTCGAAAAGAGCAACGGTTTTAGTTGCCAAGCCCAGCGTGTTCAATTTGTTGCAAGAATTATTTCATTGCCCGAGCTTCTGTTTTCGCTACAATTCAGGTTTAATTGCTACACGATACAATGATCCGCGTAACCAGAGGAACGCGTCCCTCAAATGGGAAAAGTAATGTATTTATCGAACTTTCGATATCTAGTTCTTCGTAAAATGGAAACGGATCAGGACGAACTCATCACACTTTCATTTTTTATCGAGGTAATATGTAAACGTTTATATGTTTTTCCATGGAAAAGAATAAAATTTATTTGTCCGGATTGTTTAACCGTTTGAGTGCCACGGGTCTTTGCAAAAACCCGGTCGAAAAGTGCCAAGCAGCGCGATCGCGCTTCTTTCGCTTCAATTTAGAAATTGAATTACGTTTTTCTATTTTTTCATGGAAAGACTGTACATAGCGCGATCGTTCCGTTTTTCAATTTCTAAGCAGGTAATAATAAAAATAAAAATAAATAATTAAAAGGAAGACAAATAGAGTTAATTTGATTCTACGAACCGATCGAGTGACACTTTTAGAGGGTGTAACGCAAAAGCGCGATAATGCCGTTTGGCACTCAAACGGGTATACGATTCCAAATTTTATACTATAATTGTGATGAAAAATATTACAATAGAATGGTGAAACAATAGATGCCAGAGAGATTAATAGACAGATATTCATCATTCGTTTGATTAAATGATTGTTTGGTCATTTTCTTCTGATGTATCATCACTTTTTTAACTAATTTACGATAACTGAGAAATATATATATATATATATATATATATATATATATATTTTTATAATATTCAAAGTTTTATTCGTTGTATCATAGGAATTTTCAAAATGTTTAATCGTTAATTACATGAAACATATGAATACCGTTCCAGTGTTTCGAAACAATTCGGTTAAACCGAATAGTTTGTCGATCGCATCGACAAAGAAGTTTCGTTTACGAGTGCAAAGGATTGATTTGCTAAATAAAGTTCGCGGAAATGTTTGTATTGGCGTCCTACGGGTCTTAAGAAAATGGCGGAAGTTAGCGACGCAGTCGATACGTAATTAGGAGAATGGGTGGACGAAGAACAAAGAAATATTCGAATACTTCTACAGGGTGTTCCAACTTTAAGCAACCAAACTGAAAGAGAACGCTGCATGATAATAACTCTTTAGAAGCTTTGTTCGCGAATTACACTGAAAGCATGAAATATTTGACAAAAACAATAACGCATTCGCTTTTATCGCGAATACAATCTAAATTCTAGAACGTTATTCCAAAAGGTACTTGATAAACCGATCAAAATCGCGTCTTAAACTGGAATCTATAGCTTGTGCGCGATTAAAATACGGATAACGTTAACAATACGTGAAACAGAGTTCGTTGAAATTGCAAAAAGTCACGGCCAAAGAAACGACAAAAAGACTTACAATGATCCTCTTTAAATCCCATTTAAACAGCATTCTACAAGTTCAAACGTATCAAATTCGTGTCATCCGTCGGATTAATTTTATTAACGTTTTTACCGACGTTTCATTATCCGCAATGCGTAATTCCTTTCACGTATTCTCTTTTCGGGCTGGAAGCACGTTTTTACTTTGCCATCCGACTCGTCCCGTAAAAGTTTAACAGAATTAAGACTCGGGTAGCAGAGTTTAAGGACACGTGTAATTGTAACTGCTGAGCAATGAAGTACCATGCGCGTTACAACAGTAAAGGTATCATTAACAACACTACCGGCAACATTCATCCCATTTTAAAAACAGTTTCAAGCCGTAGAATCTTCATTCTCCATAAAATTGTAAACACTAGTTGCAGCATATTCCATGTTCAAACAATTAAAACGCCTTACCCGTGAATATTCCCCAAGAGCGATGATCTTCAAACACACCCCAGCCTGTTCCAATAGTTCTACCTTGCATGAAGAGGCGAGTCGACCCCCGGACGTTTCCTATTCAAATTCGTTTCGTTTATTGACATCCGCGCCGAAGTCCCCTGATTCCGCGACGTTCCGCATAAAAATCGCTGCGCCGGGCCCTTTGATCCCGACTGTCCCGTCCAACGAGAGCGTGTCCTTTGATTCGATGATTCCGCGGACCGACCGCCCGCCCGCCTACGCGCCTATGTGTGTAAATTTCACGCAAAGCGACCATGTCGGGTCCCGCAAAGTTGTTTCAATTCGTCTCGACGTCGTTCCCCAAAAGCGTGTAATTGCTTTTTTCCCTCCTCCTCGCCCGACCCGCCCTCTCGCTCATTCTGGTCCTACCCCTCGCCGAGGCAACCCCCGGCCTCCAATTATCCGCCGCGCGCGATTCAGGTACGCAGCGTTTACAAGCTGCACGCGGATAGCGGGCGAAGACCAGCGCAACGGCATAATGTACAATCACTGTAGACCGTGCCTGCGAGTCGGCACCGCACTAAGCATTGCGGTTTAAGCCGCGCCAAGGGGCGCGATGTATGCGATCGTGATTCCGAACTACCGCGATTCCCGGCGAACCGGCGTAGTTGTGCTAAATGGTTCGCAAACTAATGTTCAAAATTCGGGCAATGTCACGAGACGATAGCGAGGTGCTGCGATGGGTCGCGAAGGGACGCGGTCGGAACGGACCTCCGCGCGCTAGCAACCGAAAGGGGCTGACGGGTTGAGGGGGCAGCTGGTAGTAACCGATGCCTGGGACATCCTCTACGGTTCAAACTTTTCGAGATTGAATTAAATAAAACTGCTGCTTCTCGCCGGTGCTCCTTTTTTCTTCGCTGCTTCCTTGCCTCTTCTCCCGTTTCTATGTCTTCAGTGTCTTCTTCGTGACTTCCAGTGACGACAAAACGAAATTAGTTTGGGGATAATTAGCAGGGAGATTAAAACTGTTGGGTTTGGATGTACCGTTGATCGATCGCGAGGCAGACGCGAATGTTCGTGCGATTACTGTGCTTGGGGAAGTAATGGGAAATCGGTTGGCAGATTACTATGATCTTCATGTCAGTTTGTCGGTAATATTTTCTTGCTGTTCACCTGCCTTGGTCCGTGTTCTTATCCGTTTCCCGGTATCGACCGTGTTTTGTTTATATTCCGTTATGTCTACGGTGTATCGCTCGCTACTGTATCATCTGTTTGCTTTACTGAGAGGTCATGCATGTTTATTTGAATATAAAAATGGCATGTCACTGAATACGTGAAACCGATTTTTCTTTCGTTCTGGTGCTCGTAAAGTAGTCTGGAAAAACGGGGATTTCTGCGTTAGCGTTTACATGGAGGTGAAATGCTTTGATTTCGTGGATTCCTGACGGTGGGTCTTTGATGATTCATCCTTTGACGTACAAGGATTCGAAAAATAGTAAATTATTCAATAGAATACATGGGAGCGGGTTTTGAATGAATAAGTTCACAGAACACA